TTAAATAAAAAAATTCTAATATCAAAAAAACCAATCTATCTAATTTAAAATTATACTATGTAAAAAAATTCTAATTATGCCATATTTATTTAGATAATTTAAAGCGTATAATATTCTTTTATTAAAATTTCATACTTATCCTCAACCAATTTTTCTTAAAGTGTTAGAACCGGCCCTTGGACTAATGATTCTGTCCTTAAATTTTAGCATTTGATCTCAGTTAATAAAAAAATTTAACTCCTACTCATTATTTAAAAAGTATCCCTCTTTCACAGTAATTTTTCATGTAAAAAAAAATTAAAGTGTTAATTGCACTCGCAGTTATCGAGGGCAATTGCTGTCTGTCATTCATAGACTAAATTTTAATATTCATATTTTTAATTTTTAAAATAGGGTGATTTTGACTCAGCAGTCATCAATAGGGACGTTGGGGCACTACTCCAAAGTGAGGGGTTCGAAAAAGGCAACATGCCCCCCCTCCCCCCAGCAGCTGCAGTCGTATCACTACCAATAAAGGAAAATTTAAAGGAGAGTCACTCGAAGGACTATCAATTGCAGCACGGGTTTTGTCAATTCTCATCAATAGGGATGTTGGCGCACTACTCCAAAGTGAGGCGTCCAAAAAAGGCAACATGCCCTCCAGCTGCGATCGTAACACTACCAATAAAGGAAAATTTAAAGCAGATTGTCACCCAAAGTACTGTCAATTGCAGGATCAATTCTCTCAATTTTCTTATCGTCTCAATAATTGAGGAACTGTTTAATACTAAATGATTTAGTGATCCCATTACTTAAAAAAAAAAAAAATGGTTTAGTGATCACCTTTGTAAAAGAGGTATTTAGACAAAAAAATCCTGGATTTTATATTCAAGTACTACTTACTTCATTTAAAAAAAATTTTTAAATTAAAGAAAAAAGAATAATTGAGGGACCATAGGCCAAAATAAAAAAAAAATGTAATCAAGAAAGATTTAGAAAATGAAAATAGGAGAAGTCTTCTCTTCAGCTTAGTTTGAAAATGTTGTGATATATTTTTTTGTAATTATAATTATTAAAAATATTACGTTATATTATTATAATTGAGGGGCAGTCAATTGCGACACCAAACTTGTCAATTCTCTTATCATATCAATAATTGAGAGACCGTCTAACTTTTTATGATTTAATGATCACCCCTTCAAAAAAGGTATTTACACACAAAAAAATCCTAGGTTTTATATCTAAATACTACTTACTCTATTTTTAAAAATTTTCAAAAG